TCCGGCCAGGGGATGTAAGACTAAGCGCTCAACTCAGCGTTTTAATCACGCTGCTTCTGCACGTGTACGAAGTCTTTCCTCGCCACGATCCCCTCAACTGGCTGCCGAGCGTTTCACCGACGGTGCCGCGAAGCGACAGCAAGCTGCCTAAGCCAATGACTTGGCTCCACTGATTTTTGTTCAATACTAAACGAGTTCATGGAATCTTTTCCAAAATACTATATAACAAGCCTGGGCATGCCGGGGAAAAGCACTCGCACCTTGCAATCGAAATTTGGAGCCAGCCTTTTCCATTCTGTGTTTAGTGTGAGTAGCGTCGCTGATGAGGGGAGCACACGGAAAGTTGCGCTCCGTCATCAATTTTTTCTGATCCCTGTTTTTTTGCGCGGGGGTCACGAGGATCCTCCCCTTCAGCGTATGCGCGATCGGGTAAATTTCCTAAGCAGAGGGGGCGTTGGGTGAATGATGTACCTCGAGACCAGCAAGCGTTATTGATTATCGTGCAGGCAGATGCTCACCATTCCAACGTCACCGGTTCTGAAAGACTGCTTGTGGACTTGTCTTTGAAGCGTTCTGAGAAGACTCGCTACAAGTGACTGTACACGAGTATCAGCATTTTTCATCATGTTTCGAAGCGGTGTCCAAATGCCGAGGAATTTCACGTAGATCGCGCTTCAAAGCCCTGACAGAGCTGTCCAGGATCACGAGAATTGCTACTTGCAGCCTGCAGAGAGTGCTTTGGATCTTCAAGGTTGTGGCCGACCAGACTCTGAGTGCTAGTACTGGTTTCTGGATATATCAGTCTCGGCAAGACCGAAGATAAGACTCTGACATCGTGTCGGCCAGCCGAGCAGGGGCCCTCGCCAGATGATGCCAGAAGAGCTGACGAAGGCTCAGGGCGGAACCCGCTGGACATTTTGCAGTTGTGCTTGGCCTGGTGGAGGAGATGAGAGTAGGCGGAACAGAACAGCAACTTGAAAGGACCTAGAGCAAAACATGGGAGGACAAACAACCAGCAGCAGCGGAACGACATGACAGAGCGAACAAACGGTTCTGTGAAAGCGTCAATGGTCCAGGGCTATGAAATGTTATGAATGTGGAATAGCTTGTGTCGTTGCTTGGCGATCTTGTGTGGCCGGCCATAGCCATGACTTGCTTACCGGTATATAAGCCAACACTATACCGAAGCCAAGTACTCCGAGTCGTCAAAGTATATACTTTGATGAGCAAAGCAAGTGCAGCAGCTGTGAGGTGTGGTGCTCAGATTGGACTTTCAGTGTCTCCTAGAGCTTTATGCCATGAACTCGTGCCGTCGTAGTATCATGGCTTTTCCCAGCTTTCGACGGCTGCCATCACGAAACCAGAAAGCTAAGAATAAGATCATCTCCAGTCGAAGAGCTTTTGTGGTGTCTACAGGCACATCTGCGAAATGCCTCACATATCAGCTTTTGCCAACTGACAGACCGAGTTTGTGTGCTGACCCCATGCCTAAGTGCATGTGCCGAAAAAGACCGCTCTGCTAAGTTCAGGATGAAGGTTGAAGTGTGTCCACTTCGCTTCAGACAGAGCTGTCACTTTTTGGGGCTGGCCGGATCTTTGCACAGGTTGGCTTCTTCGAGAGTTGAGTGCTGCGGGGCCACGGGTCAAGCAAAGGACCAAGGCTGCAGAGAATGCTCTGCTTCGCGTGCAACTCGGAAAAGAGCTGTGAGACTGCTTCTCGGTCGTGAGCGAAGTTCAAGACAGCAGGCTTTGGTCGATGAGTGCCTTGGTTGACTCCTTGCTCAGTCCAGAGCCATTTCGGTTCTTGGTTCCATCCGTACGATCTTCAGAGAGCGAAGCTTGGCAAAACATTTGCAGTAGCTCTGTGACGGTGCTAGGGTCTCCCGTGCATGCTGCTTTTGTCAAGAACGAACTGCTACCGAGAACTAAGGAATTTCGCGAACTGCCACTGTTATGAAACTCAGGGCAGAAACCAATTTCCTCCTGCAGAAGCAGGTGAAGCAGGCGATGTGAAAAGACACCGATGTCCTCCCCTGCACGTCAGCAGCATTCGCATGCTCTGCCGTGCGAAAGCCGCTGTGCTGCGCAGGCCGTGGGACCACTGGAAACAATAGGCTCCGCGACCCTTTCCACGTTAGCAGGGGCCTTGGTGTTGATCCTGGAGAAACAGAGAGGTACTGCTTCCATCGGAGCACACCTTACGTGGACTACTGCATGTCATCTCGCCATCCAATCGTCACCGTTGCGCACGGCTCGACTCCAGGCCTTTGCCACCACGTTCTGGTGCCTCAGTGGTAGCATTCGGTCGTCCTCGCCAGCGGTTGCGATGTCTCTTGGCTGCTTTTTGGTGTTGAGAGCGGGATATTCCAGGGGCTTGCTTTTCTTCTCGGCTGAACAGCGCCACTAGGCCGAGGTCTCTAGAGCCTATTATATTATATAATATTATATTATATAATACTATATTATATAGTATAATATAATATAATATAATATACTATAATATAATATAAGGAGTCTGACATTTCTTGTCGGCCAATGTCACGGGCCCGCCCTCAGTGACACGATTGACTGCACGACGCATCAGACTTCCTGAACGACAGGCTGCTTCCCGGCGCTTTGGCCTGCCCCTCAGTTCGATTGTCCGCGGCTCCGAACGGGCCTCTGGCCGGAGTGTCTCCCGTCGTGTGTGGTGCTGGTTCGGCTTTGAAGGCAATAGTTGCGCTGCTCGCCAACTACATCGGCCTCGCCACTTTGCTTCAGATCGAAGTTTGCAGGATTTGCAAGCAGGCCGAGCTAATACCGTGCATATTTCAGGAGTTTTCGGAATTGTGGACGACGCATTTCCGTCACGGTCCACTTGGTGGACTTCAGATTTCCCGCCCGCCCTCCTCGAAGTCTCACAGGGGGGTGGGAAGACGTGAATGCCTAGCAGCCGTACTGTGGCCCAGGCGCAAGGTTTGCCATGTCCTGCCTTGGTGCTGTGTGCTTGTGTTATCTCGTTGAGATCTTCTGGGAGCTCTCCCTCTTGAATACCGGGTCCTCTTTCGCATCGATCGAGTTTGCTGATTCCCGCCCCGTTTGAGATAAGACGATCACACCCCTGCCTGAATGAGATTAGCTTGCACATCCTCTCCGGGGCTTGATCAGCTTCATCTGTCCCTGTACGGGCTGGGCTCGCTCGGTCGAGGGTGCTTTCGCACGGGACGAAGTTTGTCTTGCTTTCGCAGGCCCACGTCGTGACAAGATGCTAATTGCGCTGCTTATTCTGTTGTGCTTTGCTGTTGATCCGTGACCTTCGTGAATTTCCGTGCAAGGGGTGTGAAACCACGTCTATCCTGTGAACGTCGGCGCAAGAGCCGAGACGCAAACAACCACAACCACGGTTCGTCCCACAAAAAATGGGAAATGGCGGGATTAGAAGGCTTATGATGTAATATATATATATATAGTCTTATATTATATGATATAATATAATATAATATAATATAATAAAATATAATATAATATAATACAATATAAAATAAAATAAAATAATATAATATAATATAATATAATATAATATAATAAAATATGATATAATAAGATATAATATAATATAGTATAATATAATATAATATATTATAATATATTATA